CATTTCTTATCCAGTGCAGTCTTACGGATCTGCGCTGTCTGGAGTTCCGCCACTTCCTTTGGAAGCTGGTGCAACCTATCGAATATCCTCTTGCCAAAATTTGCATCGGTATAGTTAGCCGGTACCTGTATTTCACGACCATGAACCTGCTCCTTATTTTCATATGGTGGAGCTGCTGTGAAAAGACTTCCCGCACCTTTACCTGATGTTATGGTAACACGATCTACCTACCATTCTACACGTACCCTTCCTCGATTGCATCTCATTGTTNATTGTTAAACCCATCAAGGTCACTTCTTTAGTCATCGCACGTTTGCTTTCACTTTACGCACCTTAACTCACGCCTCCACTACCATTTTTTGCTCTGCAGGTTTATACATTACGACTGTTCTTCGGTTCCTGAAGTGCCTCTTTCTGGTTTTGTACGAAAGCTCGTTTGCGACATAAAACTATCGTTCCGAGGTACTGATTACCCAGCGTCGCAATATTCTCTTCATGATTTCGAAGGTCTCTATCAAGTCTCCGTAAAATCTCTGTTGTGATCGTGTAACGAGTACGCACGCACTGCGGTACAGCCTCCAGGTAATCAATCGAGAAGCGGGATAACCGACTAACCCTGTGGTATCAGTTGGCATCATCCGGATTGGCTGAGTGCAAGAAGGCAAACAGATAAACCATATCCTTGTCGATTGGACATTAAAGAATCGACCAATGATTGTTTGTTGCTTGTAATATATATTTCCATGATTTTCCTCATAGAATTAACTGTATCCACAGCTCGTTTTGGTTCTACCTGGCTTTGCGCTATTCAGTGGGTTTTCAGTTTGATACTGATTTCGCGCTATTCGATTTCGATTCCTATTCCGAATGTTACATTCTCCTCCCTTCTAATGAGAAAAGCCCTAGAGCACCCATTCTTTACTTATATGTTCTTCCCCTCTGACCCTCAACAAGTCTGGTAAGCGATCTTTTATCTTGCTTTTTCAATAAGATGAACAGTCTACACATAATACTCCAGATGCGGTCTGATTGTGTCCGTTTATACGTGGATGAACAATTCCCGTCATTTCCAATGGAAACTATTGCTAGTGGTGTTCCTAAAGCATCAGTTCTAGGTCCACTCCTTTTCTTGCTCTACATCAATGATGTTCCTGGCTCGCCTAGTCATATCCTTGCGGATGACACCAAGGTTGCAGGATAGAATGGAAGAGTGAAATTAGGGAGGCGCATAGAAGAAGTACCCAATTGGTCAAGTACATGGGATTTGCCTCCCAACATAGGAAAAAGCCATATCTTGACCACTGGAGACGAGGGGCTGATAGTGAGGAGTGGTCATGATGGAACGACACCGACGGCTAGAGGTTTAGTAATCATAGTGACAGCAGACTACAAATGAGCCGAACAGTGTGCTGCAGCGGCGCACCATGCCCATAGAGAGCTTTTTAGACTGAGGTCTGCACTGACATGTAGGAAACCGGAGGTATTCGTACCCCTATACAAGGCCATTATTCGACTGCACTTAGAGTATTGTATACAAGCCTGAGCTCCCTTCTTCAAAAAGGACGCCGCTTGTGTCGAGAGGGTCTAACGATTAGCCACAAGGATGATTAAAGGAAAGCGGAGGGAGCCGTATAAGCAGAGACTACAGGACCTTGGACTCTTCTCCTTGGAAAGAAGAAGGCTCCGAGGTGAGTTGATAGGGACATTTAAAATTATGAATGGCATGTCAGAGACAGATCGACCGTGTTTACCGAGATGATGCAAGGAAATACTAAGGGACACATGTACAAGCTGAAGAAAGTGCGCACGAGATTAACAGCGCATTCAGACTTCTTCAGAAACAGGGTAGTCAACTCATAGAATAAGTCACCACAGGAGCTGGTGGAGTTGAGGTGCTTACATGCTTTCAAGGAGGAGCTCGATAAGCGCTGGTTGAACTTATTTCCCGAAGTAGACGATTAGGTTAAGGTCTGGGAAAAGTGATACACTTTTTTAGTTACTAACCACCCCAAAAGAGAAACGCTTCCAAATGTGAGGTCTCTCGTCTGAACAAGGGGGAAGGTATTTTACTTTCCTTTCTCCTCCATTGCAGAGGCGGAGACAACTGGGACGAGAAGAAAACGTGTAGAACTACAATAAAGAACACTCGCCGTGGTAAGGACTAACACGTGGCTTACAACCGAAGGAACTCTGGACGCTTGATTGGCCGTGCCCATCTCCTGTCCTGTGCAAAACTGACTGACTGACTGACGTTACCTGCGACACAAATACCAGATCAACTGTATGCAATGTTGGAAGCTAAGCCCACCTGCCGAAAACACACCGAACTAGACGCTCGATTGGCAAGAGCCACATTCGTCCTGTGCAAACTGAACCGAACTTGAAGTCTTGTAGTAGTACTCGGGTTCGAGGCTTGCGCCCAATATTCCCGGTTCCGGATTTGTCTTCTTTTCTGCAGTTCGGTTCACGAGCTGAGAGGGATGTTGACGGAAATGGAAGCTGGCTCCAATATGGTGCCACTGGGCTAAGGATGCATTCACCGGGGGAAAAATCTAGAGGAGATCGAGGATGTGAGAGGAGTAGTAACAGGGATAAGCGGGATAACGTGGGGGTTTCCTTTAGAAGATAAAGGCCAGTTAGATCAGAAGATGGTATGCCTTAGGTGTGAGTCTAGCAGAGTTTTGAAGACCCTTTTGGAGGAGGAGTACACAATCTTTAGTGGAAGTTGGTTCCGTT